GAAATTGGCGCTATTATGAACCCAGTGAATTCAGAAGGATTTTGAATTATAGGTGCATTGTACTCTGTTGTTCTTGGAAGCGTGGACCTGCAGACAAATAGAAATTCATACTACAAAATACAGCTCCTCAAAAACGACACCAAACCAACGTAAGCTAATTCGAAAAATTGATGATAAATCATGACAAATATTTTTTGGAGTAGCTTTTCAGCTTCTATCTGTTCCGCTCTTGGGGTCGCGTCGGAACAGCTATTGGTGGCACGAGGACGGAGTTGTTCCGTAGCGAAGGAAGTGCCACAGAGGCGTTCGAAAGGTGAGCGACTATTTCTAAATTCCAAAAATTTTTCTTGCTCATATCAGCCTTGCGTATCCGTTTCGATTGGTTCGTTCGGGCAAGCATAAATGCGAATACAAGGTAGCACGCATATGCCTACCCCAACTCTCGGATATCGAGTATATACAGTAGCGGTCAAAAGTTTGGAACTATTTTATTTACTTTTTACTTTTTTATTTTTGATCTAGCGTAGCCAATAGACAATGAAATTGCCCCGAATTCACATATTATATTCAGAATCTAGTGTAGATTACGATGGGTAACATGATTTTTTGAAAACTGAAATCGCATTTGAAAAATACGAATTTTTATAAGAAATGGCGCGTCAAAAGTTTGGAAACTTCCGAATTCCAAAGCGAATTCGGCAAAATAGCTCTCAAATCCACATGATAAATTAGTTATTCGATGAGTAGCTTTGAATTTCTATGTTAGCGTCGTTTTTATTGACATGGAGTTGATTATAAAATAATTTTAGGATTTTTAAGTCGAACCCATACACTGTGAACTAAATCACATTGTTTGGTGGGATTCTTAACTGGAATGTGGGTTGAGCGACATGCCAGTTCTTCCGTGGGATGTAGAACTCAATTAGACTTCAGATCTTGACTTGGTCGCTTCATAGCAGCTTCTTTTTCTGGGTTTAGGAAGGCGGCAGTGGGGAGGTAGGCCTGCATCGGGTCATTTCCGCGATAGAAAACCCATCTTTTCCGGCTAGTTCTGACTATCGAAGGGAAGCATTGTATTCTACAGACTATACTTGTACTTAGCCCAACCCACATTTCGCTGGATACCTAGAACTGGGGAATCGCCGAATGGTCGGACACATCTTCATCCATGACAATACTTCCACTATTTCTGACTGTTGGAATCTCATACTCAAAATGAGGTTCCCATTTGACAAAACACTTCACAGGGTCCACAACATTATTTCTAGGAAGATAGAAATCTCATTCGTCGCTGAGGACAAAGTTTCACCTCTCGCCTTCGGTCCATGTTAGCCGTTAGAGTGCGGAAGCCAGTTGGGCCATCCTGCTCTTGAAGCCCAACAATGGCTTCTTGTTGGGACATCATCCGTAATATTCACCAGGTCGCGGCCGATGTTGGGCTGCACTTGGACTTTCATATGATTAGGAAAAAACCAGAAAAAGTTGTCTCTTAGTTGGGAATGTCGGGGGCACGGGACGTGCCAACCACCCTTCGAAGTATTTGAGGAGGGCCAATTTCTTGTGAGATACTTTTTTGTGAATGATCATTCTTCTTATGCTTACTCGACTCCAATAACGCTAGAAACATTCGATAATATTGCTTCCGTAGAGACTGAACTACTAAGAAACAATTTCAATTTCGTATTCCGGATTGTAGGGTTTAAAAAAGGACCCCATGGAAAAACTGCTTCCTTTGCATATGAATTCATTTTGAAATTACACATTGCTCAATGGTTGAACTAAAATTAACAGAAACAAGTAAACATTGAAGAGTAGGAATCATAATGATAAGGGAAACAAAAAGTTTCCAAACTTTTGACGCGCCATTACTTGAAAAAATCTTATTTCTCAAATATGATTATAGGTTTTTGGAAATTGTTCTTCCCGTCGTATTCTGAACTTGATTTTGTATGGAATATCTAAATTTGGGACAATTTCGTTGTGTATCGGCCGCGCTAGATCAAAAATAAAAAAGTTTCCAAACTTTTGACCGCTACTGTACATATAGTGAAACACTACATTGACCGTTCTAATTATTAAATTCCAGACTTTTCCTGGAGAAGTCGGGTAATAATTGGAAACAGAAGCACAATTTCAAAAAGCTGCCAGGTTGCATGGATTTGGTGGAAACCGACTTCAGCGAAATTGTATGTTTTATTTAAAAATTCGTTTCAATCACAGCCGAAGTCGTCTACAGCCATTTTTAAACGGTGAACACTGTATTGGACACTAATGGTGTCTCGGAATCTTATTCCAACATAAGAGTTTGCAAACAGTGAATCTCCTTATATTCATTCACAAAAAGCTCAAAGTCAGTAGCATTATTCGTATGTCCTGCGCACGCCATCTACTTCTTTATCATAAAAGACGGGTGTTCACCGTGTGGTGGAACCGTTGCTTTCCTATGTTCTGTAAATTGAACCGTGAACCCTGATGAAATGTTAAAGGAGCTGTGGGATGGAATGGAACAGCTAGAATGGCTTGTTGAAGTCCTCATCGTT